GCTGAACACACCGAGGCCCTGGGCTCCACCCGCAGCACCAGGGGCCTCCTGGTGTGGCATTCCTGCTGAACCAGTCTGAAGCCCGTGGATGATCCGCAGCGCACTGTCCACCCTGCCTGCTGGTCCTGCCACCCTACTGAGTGCAAAACTTTCTTTTTTTTTTTTTTTCCTGATACCGGGAATTGGAACCCAGGGCCTTGTGTATGTGATGCAAGCACTCTACCAGCTGGGCTAGATCCCCAGCCCCTAAAACTTTCATTTTATGGCGAAATTGCCCCACTCCAGTTTGGGAGTTTCCAGTCACCAGGGCTCAAGCCACCTCACAGCCTTTCCACAGACTCCACGGAGCCGGGCTGCTGCACACTCCATCTGTCCTCGCAAACGCTCTCTTCCCCTGGAGGGCCTCTCAGTTCCGGCTGCCTAGCCCAGTCCAGCGCAACTTCAAGTTGATTTTCCGTGACGTCCCCAACCCATGACCTCCTTCCTCTTATTCTTCCAGCAGCTACTGCCAGGGTGACAGTCCTACTAGGTGGATCTGTGCACACGCAGATTCTTCCCAGCTAAGTGCTTAAGCCCCACTTCCTGGGTCCTCCTCAGCACGCTCAGAACAGGAGCCTGCCCTCTGTAGACTCACAAAAAAGCTCCTCATCCGACTTCAGAAAGGTTGGTTGTGGAGTTAATTTTAAACAGTAGATGTCAGGGAGTCTGTGTGCTTTGCAAAGCATGAAATAAAGTCCATGGTTTACTAATTGAAATAAAGAACTGAAGGAGCTGAGAGACGATTCATTCTCTCAGCAAAGACGAGACCCATGAAAAAATATGTTCTGAACTGAATTTTATAAATCAGTATCCATTGAGAATCACCATGACTACAGGGAAACAAAAGATTAGCACATCTGTGTCCTTGAGACCCAGAACTGTTTTCATTTAGTTGGTCTCCCAGAACTTAATGTCTGTCACAGATTAGCAGTTCATCTGTAGGGGAATAAGTTAGTGCATGAATGTGCATGTATTCACAAACCAGACAAGGAAGAGTCGGACACCCCGTCTCAGACAGCACCAAAGTGTGGGCCCCTAGGGAAGGAACAGCTGAGCTGGCTTCATTGATTATTATTATCATCGTTATCATCATTATTATTATGCACTGGGGATCGAACCCAGGGCCTCAGAGAAGCAAAGCACATGCTCTACCACAGAGCCCCACTCCCAGCCCCAGAGCTAGCTTTAATGGTCCTTTCAACTCCAACTGGTTCAA